ACTCCCTGGCAGGCCCCTGGGGGGGGTTGCACTCCCTGGCAGGGCCCCGGGGGGGGGTCGCACTCCCTGGCAGGCCCCTGGGGGGGGTTGCACTCCCTGGCAGGGCCCCGGGGGGGGGTCGCACTCCCTGGCAGGGCCCCGGGCTCACACTCACTGGAAGGGGTTGGCGCCGTCGGAGCGGCGCAGAGCCTGCAGCCCCTTGCGGCCCAGCCGCAGCGTGATGGTGATGCCCAGCACGGCCAGGGCGCCGTAGGAGCCCACGCTGACGATGCTGAAGTGCAGCAGGCTCAGCAGAGTCACCATGATGCCGGTGAAGACGAGCGCCGAGGTGCGGGTGTCCCGCCAGTACACCAGGTCCGCCACTGCGGGGGAGAGCGTTAGCGGGGCGTGACCGGGGGGGCCTGGAGCCAGACGTGTCCACGGCCAGGGGCTTCCCCTGGGGACCCTGTCCCCGTCCCTCAGGACCCATCCTCCCGCCTGGCCCCTCAGGACCCCCAGCTCCATCCCTGAGGACCCCCTCTCCCCACCAGACCTGTCAAGAACCCCCTCCCCCTGGGGACTCTGGCTCCATCCCTCAGGCCCTCCTCCCCTCCCCTGCCCCCTCAGGGAACCCCTCCCTGACCTGGGGGCACCTGGCTCAGTGCCCCCTCTCCCAGGCTTGACCCCCCTCCCCAGCTCCTGCTAGGCCAGAACAATGATGAGCCCAATGCAGTGAGTGCCCAGCTCCCAGGCACGGACCCTCCAGCCTGTGCCCCCATCAGCCCCCCGCCCCCTGGATATTGCAGTGCCTGGCCAGGGCGCGAGCTGCCAGCAGGGCCCGGCCAGCCAGACTCAGGCCTGGACGGTTGCTGGGGTTCTCCCAAGCAGCGCCGGGCCAGGAGAGACCCTCAGCCACACCTGGTCTGTGGGGCACAGTGCCGGCAGCGGGTGCTGGGGGGAGGATGGGACCCCGAGACCATCCCCCCCAGCGGGCGCCCGAGCTGCAGCAGCAGGGCCGAGTCGGGAAGGCTGTGTCTGGGTCGGTGGCGGTGCCTGGGGGGGTGTCCCTGGGTCCGGGCTCTGCAGCAGGCCTGGGGCCTTCGGAGCTCCACTGGGCACAGCCATAGGGATCTGGGGATGGGTCGAGGCCTCCACAGGGGCCTGGACTCTGCTATGGGGCCCACGGTGGGCACAGCCCTGGGGCAGGCACTCTGAGGGAGGGCTGCGGGCACAAACCGGAGGGGAGGGGGTGACAGACCCTGACAGCTGCTGCTTAGCCCAGATCCAATGCCCACCCCTGAAGGGGATCTCGAGGGCCTGTGGGCCCCCTGGGGCCATGCCAGCCCTCACGGGTCGTTCCAGGCCTCCCCACAGGCCGGGCTATAGGATACGCTTGGGGAAAAGGAATAAGGGGGCAGGGGGAGTGAAGGTGCCACCGCTCTGGCCTCCCGTCCCACAGGGGGTCTGAAACTGGGCCAGGCATCCCACACCAGCTCTGAAACCAGGACCCACCAGGGCCAGATACCGGAGACTCCCTTAGAATATAGAACTCAGGTGTATTTTTATCACTTAGTTAGTTATCGAGATATAAAACAAAGAATCAAAATCACAGTCCGCCTGTGTACGGGCCGTCTCTCACTAGGATAGTCTGAGGCCTTGTTCGTAGGCTAAGGCCTTTGGATAACCAGCAGGGGCAGCCATAAACTTAGGGTCACATCCTCACATCCCAAACCAAATCCTGTCCTGATAGTGCCCATCACCACCAGATAAAGAAACAGATCTTAAGATGGTTAAGAAAACTTAGTTTGAAAGCATCCTGTCTGGCAAGAAATCAGGTATCCGTGGTTGTGAAACCCTCATTTCTGTATTGTTCTATCTTTATGGCCTCCACTTTTCTATTGTTAATCTGTCTGGTTCTCTAATTGTTTCTGTCTGCTGTGTAATTAATTTTGCTAGGGGGAAGTTAATTAGGGTAGTGGGATATCATTGGTTAGAGAATTGTGTTACAATATGTTAGGATTGGTCAGTTACATTTCAGTAAAATGATTGGTTAAGGCAGGCGTCGGCGCCCTTTCAGAAGTGGTGTGCCGAGTCTTCATTCATTCACTCTAATTTAAGGTTTCGCGTGCCAGTCATACATGTTAACGTTCTTAGAAGGTCTCTTGCTATACGTCTATAATATAGAACTAAACTCTTGTTGTATGTAAAGTAAATACGGTTTTTAAAATGTGTAAGAAGCTTCATTTAAAATTAAATTAAAATGCAGAGCCCCCCGGACCGGTGGCCAGGACCCGGGCAGTGTGAATCACTTCTGCGCGCGTGCAGAACCCTACCCCTGGGTTAAGGTATAGCTGAGAATATTATTATATGAACGGGTCAAACAGGAAGTGGAAGGGAAATTGGAATCATGTTTGCTAAATGGGAGGGACGGGAACAGGGACACAGGCAAGGCACTGCGGCACTGGAGCCGGGAAGGGGACGTGGGGTAAAGGCTCTGAGGCGTCGGAACCGGGAAGGGGGACGCGGGGTAAACGCTCTGCGGCATCGGAGCCGGGAAGGGGGAGACGGGGTAAACGCTCTGCGGCGTCGGAGCCGGGAAGGGGGAGACGGGGTAAAGGCTCTGCGGCGTCGGAGCCGGGAAGGGGGGCGCGAGGGTAAACGCTCTGCAGCGTCGGAGCCGGGAAGGGGGAGACGGGGTAAACACTCTGCAGCGTCGGAGCCGGGAAGGGGGACGTGGGGTAAAGGCTCTGCGGCGTCGGAGCCGGGAAGAGGGACGCGGGGTAAAGGCTCTATCTGCATATAGAGATAACCCCGACTGGTGTGAAGGGCTTCGGAATATGCTTTCTTGGAAACTAACCCCAATAAACATCGCATTGTCTGCGCTTCGGACTTCTGGTCTTTTGCTGCTTGCTGTCTGCATGACAAGAACCAGAGGAGAGGGTGAAAGGAAAGCCCTCTAGCACTGGGCCAGGCATCCCACACCAGCTCTGAAACCAGGACTCACTGGGGCCAGATACGGGAGACTCCCCCACCCCCACTCCAACAGAGCCGGTGCCCCTGCCGTGCCCACATCTCCGCACCCCCTGCAGTGCCAGTAACCCTGCCGTGCCCGCATCTCAGCCCCCCGCCGTGCCAACGCCCCAGAAGGGCCATCTCAGCGCCCCTGCACAGCCAGGTCCCAGACCCCCCCAGTGCCTCCTCACGCTCAACCGCGCCCCACGCAATGTCCAAGACATGAGAGTGCCCCAGCCGCTGGCCCTGCTTGTGCTGTGGTAACGCCTCACTCCCTGAAAGGCTGCACGTGCCAGCTTCCACCTCTCTGGGCACGCCACATACTGTCCCCCATCACTGCCCACTGCATGCATGTTCCCAGTGCCCTTGTTCCTCCCCCTCCTCCCCTGGCAGAGGCCACTCTCTGTAACACGAGATGCCCAGGAGCTAGGGACACCCTGTTCCCCACCCCTATCCCCCATCCGGCTAAGTGCCACCCCCAGCCCTGCCCCTTTAAATGGTAGTGGGGGGAGCCTTGCTTCCCAGGGGGTTGGGGGTGGGTCACCCCTTTGTGGGCGGCTCGCGGCTAAGTTTAGCTGCCGTCCTGCAGCTGTCGGGATGGTGCCGCTCCCCCTCCCCCACCTGGTAACTGACAGGCCCAAGTGCCAGGCTGGGGGCACGTCGCTCACAGGCACGGACTGGGGGGGGGGCGGTCACAGCCCTGAGGATTGCCCCCCCTCCAGCAATCAGTACGACCCCCAGCTCTGATCCCAGCCCCCCCCTGAGCCTCCGTCCGCCCTGCTCTCACAGCCCAGCCCTGCCCGCAATGTCCCCCCAGCCACTCCCCGGCCCCCAAGAATGACCCAGCCCCAATCCCTGTCTGAGCTCAGCCCCTCAATGCTCCCAACCATCCTCAGCCCTGTGGTGCACCCCCCTCCCCCCGATGGGGCGTCTCTAACCTGCACTGCCCATCGCGAGCCCTTTGCCTGCAGCGCGGTGCGAGGGTCCCGTCGCCTTGGCGCACCGTCTCCGGGTGGGGGCTGGGGGCTGCAGGGCTGCGCAAGGGGGGAGCCCGGGGGCTATTTATAGCCAACGAATGCCAGCTGCTGTCTCCCATCACCCATCCCCCTTCCTGTCCTGCAGGGGGGCTCGGCCGCACCAGGGGTGGGAGGGACAGTGCCGGCAGGCAGTGGTGGGGGGCAGGTAATAGCCAGGGGGGCAGGACGATTCAATGCCTGCAACACAGGACTAGGAGCCAGGACTTCTGGGTTCTGCCCCTACCTCTGGGAGGGGAGTGGGGTGCAGTGGTCAGAGCAGGGGGGCTGGGAGCCAGGACTCCTGGGTTCCATTCCCAGCTTTGGCCCAGACACTGTGACCCTGGTCAACCTTTTCAGAAGTGGCCACTGACTCTAGCCACCTGAATTTTTGGTACTGAACTTGACACACACACACATACACACCCCGAAATGGGGAGCTGAGCCCTGCACCCTACATCCCAGCACCGCTCCCCACTCGTTCTCCCTGACCAGAGTAACCGAGCAAGTCAGGGCCGCTCTCCCCATTGCACAGAGGGGAAACTGAGGCACTGAGTGGGGAAGGGACTCGCTCAAGGTGAACAGCAATTTGGGGCACGTTTGAGGATAGGACCCAGGAGTCCTGGCTCCCAGCCCCCCAGCCCCGACAGTGAGACCTTGTTCCCTGTAGTATGGAGTCCCTAGTTTGACCCCACAGGCAGCCTGCAGCTGTGTGTGTCTCAGCCCCGACCCCCAATGCCACCTATGGATTGGCAGGGCTCAGGGACCCTGCCAACGGACAATCCCCAACCTCTGCCACCAGGGCCATGGGGCATCAGGACGGGCCAGTGGGGCAGGTGGGAAGGAGGAATGGGAGACTTGCTCAGCTTCCTCCCCCGCCCTCCACCCCTCAGGTTGTTGGATCCCTCCAGGCAAAGCCAGGGAGCTGCAGTGTGGGGGTGGGGGCTCACTAGGGGTGCTCCCCCCCAAGTCAGTGCTGACCCCAATGCCCCATTGTGGCACTAGGGGGCGCTGTGCTGCAGGGAGCGGGACAGGGGACTTCGGGACCGTGCTCTGCCCTGGCAGTCAGGGCTGACCCCAGTGTGGCTCTAGGGGGCGCTGTGCTGCCAGGCTAAGCTATACAAGAGAAGCCCACAGCCCTGGTGGTTATTACAGACCAGTGGTGTCTCATTCAGGGGTCAGTGTGAACCCCAGAATGCTGGGCTGACTCCAGCTGTGATGGATTCTGCTAACTAGAACCCCCCTTCCCCTGCGGGGTCACTCGGATACACCCCGTTCTTCAGTGCTGCACGGCTATGTAGCACCCCCTGCACACCACCCCAGAGGTGGCTGCATTATAGCACTGGGTGAGAGATCCCTGTAAAACCAGCCCTGGAGCCTCAGCCCAGCCTGGCCCCGCAGGAGGCTGGAGTGTCCCAGTTCCAGCTGCGTCATTCTCTGGGAGCAGGTCCCAGGCACAGTCCCTCCTCCACTGCTCCGGGACGTGCTGCTGTCAGCACTGGGGCTATGTTTACCCGCTGACTCGCCTGCCCTGGGATCCTGCTCTGGCACCAGCCCAGAAGCTGGGAGCAGCTCTTGGGGCAGGGGGGCTGAGGCATCCCTGCCAGCACCCAGCTGGGGACTCTGGGCACGGACAGCTTCCCCAGGGCAGTGCCCGACCCAGAACACCAGTGCGGCGAGCTTCCCCAGAGCAGTGCCCTGCCTGGGACTCCAGTGCTGTGAGCTTCCCCAGGGCAGTGCCCAGCCACAGCCCTGTTATTCACCTGTCCCTTGCCCCCCACCTTGCTCCCAGCTTCTGTGTCTTCATTGGCTGCTCACCTATAATGTATACTCCCAGAGTGTTCCCGGATTGGTCCAGCCCATCCAGCTGCTGTTCTGTGATTGGTTCCGTATCTGCCTGCTCCCCCTCCTCCTGTGGCTCCAGCTCCTCCTCCCTTGGGCTGGGGGCGGCGGAGGTCTGTGGTGGGGGCTGGCTGCCCTCGGCGTAAGTGAGCCCGGGGGTGCCCCCTGCAGGACACGGCATTAGGGCCTTGGGTCGCGGGTGGTCTCCTGGCGCCATTTCTGGAGCAGCCTCTGCCACAGACAGGGGAGTGGAGGGGTCATCACCGGGGTCATCGACAGCCCGAAACCCCACGAGCCCAGCTGCAGTCCCCCTCCAGCAACGCAGCCTGCCCTGGCCCCCCAACAGAGCCCCTCCTCCATCCCCCCCAGCCACCTCCCTTCCCTTCCCCCCAACAGAGCCCCTCCTCCATCCCCCCAACCACCTTCCTTCCCTTCCCCCAACAGAGCCCCTCCTCCATCCCCCCAACCACCACCTCCCTTCCCTTCCCTTCCCTTCCCCCCAACACGAGCCCCTCCATCCCATCCCCCCCAAGCCACCTCCCTTCCCTTCCCTTCCCTTCCCCCCAACACGAGCCCCTCCATCCCATCCCCCCCAAGCCACCTCCCTTCC